AAATTTATAGTAGTAAAAACCACAGTGACAGGTCACAAATCCCACAGCAGTCTTTTGACAGTGGCGCATTTTGCTGGTTATGGACAAAAGAATGTGCAACTTCCTTTTGAGCAGCTCTGGATGCTTTATTTACTAGAGGTTGAGATGGAGTAAATACTGCTACTGTTGTATGACGAGTCAATGTCTATTAAGTGCTTGTGTCGGGCTACACTGAGGAAGGGCCTACATTCTCCCATTTGATCACCATGAGCCTCTATTTCTCACCCCCACTTCATACGTAACTGCAGAGCAAAGACATGAGCAACTTGTCTCAGATCGCAGAACTGGTAAGCAGAAGAGCTGAATTACCCGATTTCAAAAGCTCAGTCCCAACTGCTTCTAACTACTTGATACCAATTTCAAAAGTCAAAGACTTCTAAAGCAGGGCTAATTCCCCAAATCCCTCCTCTCTGATCCTGGCACAGCCTCCATTGGAATGACAGAGAGTATAGATATGAGAAAGAAAACAGAACCTGACACTCACTAAATTGAAAGAACAATCTCTTCCTTCAGAAATAATATTACTTTATATTAAACTTCATTTTTAGTGCTCTCATGATTCTTTAAAATAATCAAAATGTTCCAACCAAGATATGTCAAAATGATGAAGGAATATCTTAAAATAAAATCCCATCTTCCTCCCCTGATAATAGTTAAATTATAAATCCCCTTAAACAAGTCTAGTCAATAGAAGAACAATTTACTTCATTTTAATCATTTTTCTCTTGATATTTTCTCCCCTTTTCATCATCCCTTCACAAAAATTTCAGGGTTTGCAATGCTTGGCCAAAGGGAGAGAAATAACAAGAATATTGTTATCCCTATGTGAAAGCCGCTATTAACCTTTTTCCTTTTTTAATAGTCTTGAGGTTGATTTCTTAATTTTCTTCAACTTGAGTTTCACAACTTTTCAGAGAAAACACAAAGCTCAGTAAGGGAGATTACTGCATACAATGCTGGCTGCAAGGGTGACCAAGAGCTCAAGCAGGGAGCTGTCTTCCTCAGGGTATCAAGTCCAAGGTGGCCAATGATGGGCAGCAGAAAGTGACGGGTTAGTACCCACCTTCTCCACACGAAGCCTTATGTGTTTGCATCCAAAGGTCTGCTGTCAATTAGGAGCAAAACAACAGGTGATTGGCTCAAGAGATAAGCTTCATAAAAGGTGCCATAGATTTTACAAAGGGCGAGGGACAATAAGGATGCAACTGGAATCTAGTCCTTAGTAAATGCACCAGGTATATTTTTTGTAAAGGGAGTAGAGTGAGCCCAAAAGTTCAGAAAGAATGCACACCTGCCTCTCACATATGGCATTTGGCTTTGTTAGTTATGGATGAAATCTCTCTTCTCTCAGTGGGTCAGTGGGTCATGGACCAGTGTCTCTGAAGAACTTTTGTGCTGGAAATTTTCTTGTGTGTGTGAGTGAATGAACAGAATTTAGGACTCTGCTCTCTAATAGCAGAGAAAAACAAAGCTCTTCAGCAAGCCCAAATGTGCTGCATTCATTTTCCTTTCCTTATGCTAAGACTCACAGTGAGAGTCTCTTTTGTCAAATCAGAACACTTTGAGCAGTAACTCTGGCCCAAAGTAAGGAGAACCCCTAAGACAAAAGCAAGTGAAGATCTTCCAAATAACTATAAGGTGAATTTTACAGTAAGCATTTTGTTGTAACTCCATAACCTACAAGTTTGGGAAGCCAAACAAAAAAGCCCAACCTAACAACCACTTCTCAGTCTGAAACACAAAGGAGTCTGAACATGGTTCCCTGTCTCTTAGTGGACTGAAAGATATTTTTAAACCATCATCCCTATCCTAAAGTGACATACCAAAACTCACGCCTATGGTTGTTTTTTGTTGTTATTTTGTTGCATGTGTGTGTGGTTTTAATTTTTATTTATTTAGATAGGGGCTTGGTAACTCCATCACCTACAAAGTTTATTTTCTAAGTCCCCATAGGTCACCAAACATGAACCATGATCCTACCAGGACCATGCATCATACAAGGCCTTCCACATATTGGAAGAAATACCCAAAAGGTGAGCATTTGAGTATTTTCCAGGCCAGGTTTTCATAAAAAAGACTTTAAAATCTTCATCTTCCAGTGGATTAGCATGAAATGATAATACACGAGTGGTATGGATTGAATGCTTGAGTCCCTCCAAAGTTCTAGGTCCCAGTATAAAGGTACTGGGAGGTGGAGCTTTGGGGAAGTAATTAGGTCATGAGGGTGGGGTCATCATGATGAGATTAGTGCCCTTCTAAGAGAAGAGGTCTCCCTGGCACTCCTTCTAAGAAAAGAGGGCTCCCTGGCACTCTTTTCTCTCTCTTCTTACAATAAGAGAGACCTTCCCTAAGAACTGTACAGCCAGCATCTTAATCTGGGCTTCCCAGCCTTCAGAACTGTGAGGAATGTCTTCAACATTCAAGCCATGGAGTCCACTGTATTTTGTTATAGCAACCCAAGCTGATTCAGCCACAAAGCAACTCCAAAAATGAATAAAATCAAGGTTCACTGCCCACACCAGAGTGACTATACTAAAAGCAGCTTAATTCTTTTATAAGATGCTCACCTTTCATATAATCTTCAAGGAAGTAGCTTGCCATAGTTGCATCCCTAAGGAAATGAGGTCATGCACTGATTAACAAAGATGGGAATAAAATGTGAACCAGTGGTTTATGAAAACCAGTCACACTACAACAGGTGAGAACACCCAATAAGGCCTAAATCGCTACCTCATTCATGCCCACGGTGAGAAAGGCAAGATGAGGTTTTTCTTTGCTGGTAAAATTCCAATGTTAAACTGCTATTTATGTATTTTAGCTCTTGAAGGATGAAAGCTATAAGTAAATAGCTCTTAGGATTTTTTGAAGTGAATGAAATGAAACTTGGGACTGCTTATGGTCCTTAGGCCAGAGGAAGTACCAAGTACTTTTGCCTGGGAGTAGGGGAGGGTAAATTAACAAAACTCCACCAAAACAAATTCTAAAATTTCAAGTTACATGGGGTAAAAAAATCTGAGCAGACAGAATTACTGACAAGAAATAGGCAAATGTATAAATTGAAACACTACTTAAGAGAGATATAGGATTTCTTTCAGAACCTTTGTGCTAAAATAGATGGTACCACCCCCTAGAGGCAGTTTTGGAAATAGAGGAACACTGGAGGTAGTAATGGGAGGCCGCTACTTGAATTTATTAGGTGGGATCAAGGGTACTGCAGAAGCCCTACAGGTCAGACTCACCACAGCGAAGAATTAGCCCAATTAGCCAGGTGTGGTGGCACATGCTTGTAAACCCAGCACTTTGGGATTCTGAGGCAAGGGAACTGCAAATGAACCCCAGCCTGGGGGACTTCATCAGTCCTTGTTTCAAATAAAGGACTGGAATGAACACACACACACACACACACACACACACACACACACACACACACACACCAGCACAGCTTTCAATTGTCCCCTACATATACATGAAGATGGAAATCTAGTTTAATATTATGCAAATTACTGTATATCATTTCATTTTCATACAAAAAGAACTTTTAGCTCCCTCAGGAATGCAGAGCACTCTACACATTGAAGGAAGCCTGTGCAGCAGTGAGGATGAGCACACCAGCCACAACCAGCCTGCCTCGACCCTCCTCCCAGCTCTGCCACTGCTATGTTAGCTGTGTGGCTGGGGACAACTCCCTCCTGCGTAAACTGGGAGTAACAGCAGTAGCTATCCCGTGGAGGTGGTGTATGAAACATTGCTAGGCACACAGTAAACACTATAAGTGAAACTATCACAGACATCTGTTTTGTCTTGAACTCTATCAGGAATTAACCACATTTTAGAAAGTCAGTCTGAGTACTAGTATCCAGTACCATCACTCTGGATACTATTATTGAATGGCTAACATAAGCAGCCTGTATTTGTATGCATTTATAGCTACCACAGATGTGTGCTACATACAGCTACCATATACATGTGAAATGCACATATGTATATACACACTTGTACATAGACAGTAGTTACATGGGGTAATCACAAGTGTTTAAGCTTTTAAAAATGTATTACAGTAAAAGACACAGTCATTAATCACCCTCAAAATACTCCCCCCCTTGCTTTTAAGCACACATCCCGTTATTCTTGCCTCCTTCTGAAGCAGTTCTGGAAGTCTTTGTGTCTTTACAAGGTGTGATCAAAAATACGGTGAATGCTCCTGCCAAGTGCCATCCAAACAAAGTCCAGGCTTGCGAAAACAGGATGGTGTGTCCTCAGCCACCTTATTCACTGAGTCTGGCACCATGCAACTTCTGGCTCTTTCCCACCCAAAGTCAAAACGACCGTGAAAGTTCACCAAACATTCCGAAGCAATTCAGGACACAGAGGAAGTCATGACAACACAACTAAAGACACAAAAGAGGTTCTCCCGAAGTGCTTTAGAAAGTGGCAAGAACGGGGTAAGTGTGTTTGAAGCAGCGGAGAGTATTTAGAAGGCAACAGGTCTTTTACTGTAATTTTTAATTTAAAAACACCATATTAACAAACATCATGTTTCTAATCACACCTCATTAATACACACTTGTTTCACTATTTCATAACCTATAATATAATCGTGCCAGGACATTTACATATTAAAATGTCACTGTAAAATTCTTATATTTTTATATTTCAGTTAGGATATGACACTGGTGTGCCTGCTTAGAAGTAGGTTACATTACCTGTTACCTTCATTTCAGATTAGTAAGAAGTATGATGCTCTTATATGTGGATATGTCTTATCATCTGATTTTCTTTTTATTATAGAGATGCTATAAAGTATTTTAAAAAGTGAGACTTGAATAGGGCTGGTAAGGCAAAAAGATTTCCATTTTATATTACTATTTAATCTTGCATTTTCATATGCTAACACATATCCACCATTAACCTGGATCAATATTGAGGCAAGCAACTTCCACTCGTCTCTTAAGAAATTCATATTAACTATTATTTATATATTTCAAAACTAGAGTTGTACAGAATTTTTTTTAGCAGCAAGATATCTCTCCAACAGAATTCAGGAGAGAATCCCAGATAAAAATACAAATAAAAACAAAACATGGTGACTAACTATAGGTAGATGAAGTCAGAACTGTCTCTGACCTCCCCATGGGGCTTCAGGAATGGTCTGAGAAATATGATTTGTACAGAGTGAAAAGTGAGTACTGACAGTTCAGCTTCAGTTTACAAGTGGTATTTCTCCCACAGACAAGGGACCACCAGGCCAGATAAGACCTCCAAAGCTCTTTAAATCATTAAGTAGTGGACCTATAACACAAGAGCGCTCCTCTAAATCCGGGAGCAAAAGGAATCAGGGCCACTCCACTTCCTGGGCAAAGAGCCAGCTCAGTGCATGGTAAAACTGGCAAGCCTGGCTCTCTTTTACACAGCTCCCTTCTCGCCACCCGTGTCCTGGGAGTACACTCTGCCCTGCCACATACGAGGCACGCAGTGAATCTAGCCTTCAAGATCTTCTTATCCAATCTGCATAGCACACTGGGTCCCCCATGCAATACGCTACCTTCCTGAAGCTCCCTCAGAGGCTGACAGGAAAAGAGACCCTGTGACTTCAGTCACACTCACATGAGATGCCACTGGTTCCTGTAACCTCACTACAGTAGAGGCATTTCTGAGGAAAGAGTTTTACTAACTGGTGTGAATTTCTCATGGGCTAAATTTCAGGCAAGTCAGTACAGCAAACAATTCCACAGTGTGAGGGAATGTATTTGAGGTAGGGGACACCAGCTACGCCTAGGAATAAACCTTGGAGAACTCCCCTGTTATAATTTTACTTTATATATGTTCCTCCAGCTCCTCCACTACTAATTCATAAAATCCCAAAATGCCCGGGAGGTTTTATTGTATTTTTTAATATTAGTGCCCAAACTGGCAACAACCAGGCTGGTCATTTGTAAATCTGAAAACACCTTCAACACTCAGTTTCATGAATGACGCAAGACAGAAATATTTCAATTACATGTGACTAAGAGTAAGAAAAATATACAACTATATTTAAAACACTTAAATTAACAAGATAGTACTTTTCCATTCTAACAAAATATCATACATTCAGTTTAAACAAGAGTTAATATTCAGATGCATTTTTTCAAAATACCTGAAGCTAGTTGAAAGTTAGTGACCACGGGCTTTCCAAGATATTTCTAGTTAGCAAAATGTGTCTAATTTCAAAGAACTGTGGTTCTTTCCAGAAGACAGACATCAAATAGGTCACAAATGCAAACTGATATGTCTTTCACAAACGCAAATCCTGTTGCTTTAACTTTCCTGAATGATACTTTGGCTTTCAGCAAATCTTACAGCTTCTTTTCCCTTACAGACAATAATATGTAACGACTGCGACAATTCCTCTCACGAATAACCAGACGCTGCTTTCATATCCTCACGTGCCCCCATGCCTCTGTACTAACAGACGCAGGCCGAGCTTATGAGCAAGGGGATTAACCACATGTAACAGATCCATGCCTAAACCTCTGCTCGGAAGAGCACACACTTGCCACGTGTTCTTTCACCGCCGAAGCTGCTATGCTTACAAATAATGGTACGTACACTTTAAAAATCGAGACAAAAATCCTTTCTCCCAACTGGCTTTTCCAGATAAAGAAGGTGGACCACAAGCCACACATCTGTATGACAAGAGCCACCCAACTGAGCCCCTCACCCAAGAAAACAGCAGCAGATGTTGCCAACTCCGGAGAATGACCACCGCGTCTCGCCAACACCCAATGTGTAGAAGCGCCTCTGTGTGCCATCCTGGAAGGGGTGGGACCATGTCCTCCTCCTGTCTCCACGAGTGGCCCCTAAGATCCCCTGGGTCTGCTGCCACCCAATCCATGAAGGTCCAAGAAGGGCAATATACAACTTTTTAGGAAATACAAAGGAAATGATGCAAGGTCACTGGGGAAGCCTGCGGTGTAGCGGGAGAGACTGTCCCCGGGGACAAGGCACTTTGGAGCCCCTTTGGAGCAGGGCCCGCTGGCCCAAGGGCGGCCTCAGTGAGTCAACAGCTTCAGGCGCGTGAGCCAGCTGACCAGCAGGGACGGCTCTGCAGAGGCAGCCTTCTTCTTGGACCCTTCCTCTGGAAACGGGATGGTGGCGCTGCTGTGCAGGTCTGCGTTGATGTAGCACCTGCTCCCACGGATGTAGTCTGCACCACGCACCAACTGCCGCTCAGTTGCGGGCCGGGAGAACCTGTACACGGCAGAAGCGTTCTCCTCGATAATCGGTGGGATCCGCTCATTACTGAAGTATCGGCAAAGGGCATCCTCCCCTGTGTCCGGACAAAGCCCACAAGTCCGTTAAAACGGCTATTCACAGCAAGTCATCATGGGGAAAACTCAGACACCAAGGGCACAAGCATGCATGTGGCATCCTGCTCGCCCCTGCTGTGTGAAAACGGAAGAGGTCCAACATGACTCGGGCCGCTTTCACACCTCAGAGGAAACAAAGCGTCCAGCAGATCTACACTTCTTTACCAATGGGAGAATTTTCATAATTCACTTACAATAAAGCAAAGACAGTGCCCTATAGCATGGTGTATGCCTATAATCCCAGCAGTCTGGGAGGCTGAGGCAGGAAGATCACAAATTTGAGCCCAGTTTGGGCAACTTACTAACTCAGGGAAAACCTGCCTCAAAATTTAAAAACTTAAAAGAGGGCTGGGGAATGTAGCTCAGTGTGAAAGGCCTGAGTTCAATCCTTAATACAGGAAAAAAGACAAAGAAAATCCCAAAGAAAAACAGAAAGAGGTATGATTCTATCACTCCTTCCCCCAGCTGTTCGTGCTCAGGGATGCAGCACAAGCCTGTGCCCCCAAGGCAGTGTTTCTTGTCTGGGGTGTCCACGAACACTGAGGAAAGCGTGGGGGCCATGGCCCAACAGGCAAAGATTCAAAGATTTTAAGGTCCTGCACTATGGGAACATTCCTGAAAAGAAAAAGGATCTTGCTTCAAATGGCAGCTGACCTTCTGGGGAAGGACTAGCATTTAAGAAACTAAATAGAAATGTAAAATGCAGGACACGCTAGTAGCATGTAGCACTCTTTAGAAATCTCACTCCCTAAAATGTGCAAAGATCTACAAGGATGCTTACTGAAATGGTATTTGTAAGTGGGGGGGAGAGGGGGGAAGCACAGAAATAACCTAGTGGCAACAGCAAACTAAAAAAATAGGTGCTCCACCCCAGACATGCAATACTAATGCGGCTGTATTAAGAAATTACATGTTTCAGATAATTGTTGCATTACATGGTGCTACTGAACATCTATTTGCTCTGCTTTCCATGTTTTTTTCAGTGTGTAATCCGTAAATACACGAACTGGGGGTTACACAAGACATTCACGGTGATTATTCTTGGTTTGAGAAGTAAATTCCAGTCAAGTTTTGTTTTCTTTCTTTCCTTCTTTGCCTTACCGTGAATTGAATTCAGGGCCTGCACACTAAGCTGCATTCTCACCCATCCCCTTTTAAATTTTGAAACACTCTCTCACTAAGACCCTGCGCTGAGCTTGAGTCTGCGATCCCTCCCCGTCTCCCTCCCTGGCTGCTGAGAGTATGGGTGTATACCACCACGCCTGACCTAAGTTTCATTTTCTCATGTCTTCCAGATGTTTTTCTAATGTACCTGTTTTGCTTTTGTAGTCAAAAGGGAAAAGTCACTTTTCAAAAGCACCCGTTGTCAAAAAGCTATATATTAGATGAGTCTATTCATATGAAATGTTCAGAATAGGCAAATCCATGGACAAAAAGTAGATCAGTAACTGTCAGGGGCTGGGGAAGGCTGGAATTCAGTGACTTGTTAGCAGTACAGAGGATAATGAAAATGTTTTGAGGTGAAGAAAATGTTCTGGAATTAGATTGTGGTGACTGAGGCATAGCTCCGAATATACTAAAAAATACTAGGTGGTACATTTGTAAAAGATGAACTTTATGCTATGAGTTATATCCCTAAAACATTGTTATTCTTTTAACATGGCCATATGCAGATAAATACCTCTAATTCTGAGGCAAAAAATGCAGAAGAAGGAATAGAGGGACAATTTTTTTTTTCCATTTTCCACATTCACCACCCCCCCAATATACTCCATCTCTCAATATAGAAAAGAAAGAAATCCATACTCAGAGAAGATGCTACCGCCTCTAAATCTAAACAAAGGACAGCCCTGCCACCTGCTGACTGTTCCACAGATTTTCACATGTAAACTAAGAGGATCCTGAACTACACACTAGCATCCTATGCCTCTGATGCTCTAGCATAATTCAGGTGATACAGGCACTTGGGTGTAAGACTTTACCAAGTCACTAGTACACGTCAAGGACTGACCACTTTGAAAGATCAGGCCTCCGGCATGTTTTCTTTTCTTTCATTTACTATGTAAGAGTTATTGTACTTCATTCAACTTTTCAACTGCTCTTTGCTTCAGCTTTGCGGAAGCAATGTTATACTTTGCCATGATAATCAAATGCAATCTGGCAAAAGAGAAGTGCTCTTAAGCATTTCCCTTTAGACTAGGCAAGTAACAAGTAACTTCGATTACAGGGTAAAGGAAACACAAATTTCTCTCAAATAGTAATTACTCGAATACTATTTATTCTCTAACCCAAGAAGGTCTGGTGAGGGAAAAAATTCATATGTGTTCATCAGAAATCAAACACTCTAATTAATAACAGTTGTAAAATGTAGCATGAGATTATTTAATGAATAATTTATTTTTGCTTGTTTAAGAATCAGACCATTTATGTCGACAGCCTTTCTAAAGTCCACAGTGTTGATCAGGAGATTTATAAGCACTAACCATGATTATGTAATTTTGCCATTCTATTTTGTTTTTTTTTGTTGTTTGTTTTTTTTCCCAGTACCGGGAATCGAACTCATGACCTTGCGCTTGCCAGGCAGGCGCTGTGCCGCTGAGCTAAATCCCCAGCCCCTGCCATTCTAGAACTAAAAAGGATCTTAGAGTTCTTTAGCAGGCTTAACCTAACGCAGGACAAATGGTATTCGGCAAAGTTAAGTTCTCTCTCCACTTATTGTGAACATGTTAGGAGCAGAATGGAGGTATGGAGCTAGGTGTTTTGGCTTTGCATGGTGCTTTTTGGCTCAGCTTAGATGAACCATACCTTTCCTCCCATGACCTCTAGGTCTGGCAAAAGGGTCCACAATCCCCATCCAGTTCCCGTCTGCGGGCATGGACAAAGGTCGCGGCTTGCCTGCACAGGGATGAGAAGGAAGACGACAAAGTTAGCAAGTTGGAGACCTTACACAATCTTTTCCTTTACTTATAACTTAGATCCCACACTAACACACTCACTTATGCAGAAGCAATAACAAATTTTAAAGTAAGGAGAGAATTTTAAAGCACCATGTTTCCATAGCAAGCAATTAGGACAAAGGCGTGCCAAATGTGAGCCTTTGGTCTGTAACTCCACAGTTAAAACCCAGGCACTGAAAGTTAAAACTGTAATGTGAGCTCACCCAGCTGGGTTTTGATGCCAGGCAGAGTAATGACTCAACAAGGCTTTGCTTCAGAGAGATGAATAAAGGTCTCATACTTAGAATTTCATTGTGGTTTATGTTTTCCTCAGATTACCCTTAACGTCTGCCAGATTCACCCGTCAGTTCCAAGTAAGGAAGAGGGTAGGAAAGAGAAGTAAAAGGTAATGGAAGAACAGGACCAACACTAGGGAACTTACCATAAGATGGTGTTTTCTCTCTCATTTTTGTGGGCAGAACACTGGTTTCCACTGAATACCCCGGCAACTGATCAGAATCTGCAATGGTGAATCTTCGTCTTCGGCTCTCCTGATCCAAGAAGGAATTTGGAGACTCTGAACCCTTAGGCCTAGGCAGTGGTTGTTTACACTTACTGAATCCTCCATAAACAAAACTCCCGTTTTCGTCCCTGGAAGACAATGTGCAGTAATTACACTGCTCATAAGCATTCTCTCCTACTGAAGAATATTCTAGAAGCCATGCTACCTTTAGCACATGTAACACTTACCTTCTCCTTTCCCAGTCAGGAAAAGCACTACTTTAATTCAACTCTAGTTACCACTAAATTATACACAGACCCTATTAACAGAGAACAAACACCATCACTCTATTAAATGCAGTTTTTTCCATACATGTCTCAATAGTAAATATAAGCCTTGGCAAAAATATGTCTGGTTTTCCTTTGTTTAATCTTGTAATTGAATCTCATATTTGCAAAAGGAATCAGACATTAAGGTGTGAGTTACTGAAATGTTTTTCTCAAGCCAAAAGTAGTATCTTTCCCAAGATCCAGTAAATAAGATTCTTGCTGTATAATGAAGTTGTTGGATTTGAAAATTATGCCAGCTATACAAAGGACCCTTTATAATAAGCAATGGAGAGTGACTACTGCTGAATTCAATAAACTAACTGGAAAAAGCTGGATCACTGACTCCATCCTAATTCTATCTAAATGTCAGTTTATAATAAAACCTAGTATTTGTTGAATCTAAGTTACCAGATGTTTGTATTGTTTTTCTGTTTGGCTGGTTTTGCATTTAGCAAATTCCATTAGGTAATCACTACAAACACTACTGGACAAAACCCAGAATGAAGTGATTCCCAAAGCAATCTCCTGATCAGCTTTGCCTGTGTGTGGCAATCCCAGGTGTGCCACTGCCTGCTTACCCCTCCACCCAAGAATCTCTTTCTCCACCTTCTAACCTGGCATCAAACTTCCCCACTCATAGGCCTTTCATGACTCCCTGCTCGTTTCTCTCCAATCCATCTGCATTTTTATTACTCAGAAAATATCCCTCATTAGCGTGAGTGTACGTGGATACACAAGTACAAGTCTCCCCCAGGGAGATTAAAAGCCCCACTCCCCTTGCCCTTTACTGCGCTATTCCTGTGACTCACCTGAAGACTCAGAGGAAAGAATTCAGAGTTGCACAGTCTCCCAAGGGCTGGGCAAGTGCTGTCTCACTGAGCCATATCCTAGCGCCCCCTACTGTCAGTGAAACTGCGCTTTGTGCAGATCTAATGACTACCTTGCAGCCTTAAACTCCCTTCAGATCCTCTGACCATATAACTCTGGCCTGTCACTCAGGGCAGAGGGCTGTCTACAGCCAGAGTGCCCGAGATCACTTAGGGGAAATCCTCCACACGCTGTCATGCATTCCACGTAAAACGATGTGAATCTTCTCTGACCCCAGCGAAAAAGTGCCAAAGAAGCAAATAGCTCAGCTGAATAAAAGCAAATCAATGGAAAATTCCAATGTGGAGGAAAAATGCCACTAAAAAAATGCAGCCTGAACTTTGTCTTATGAAATATAGCATAGTTACGTATTTCTCAACTTCCTCTGAAACAGCTGAATGAGAAACTGGCAGGTTTCTGGGGGGTCAGGTCTGTTCTGTGACTGGTGGTCACCAGACTCCTCAATCATAAGTGCATGCTGAGGCAATGATCCAGATTCTCTAGTCTTATCAGCATATTTAAATATGTGAGTTGACATAAATAAGCCTAAGTGTGCCTAAATCATCACCTGTCTCCCCTCTACCACCCAATATGATGATCCTCATTAGACTGTATCACATTTAAGAAGGCCAGGAAGAAGACAGCTGTCTTTATCTCCCCCATACACAGACACACACGTATTTAGAGACCATACTACCCTCACAGAGTTTTGTAGAAGTGCTGTGAAGAATACCTTTCTCAGCAAAATCAAGCTACAACCTTCATGATTTTCCAGATGAATTTATGATGAAGTTCATGAAACTTAAAACTGCAGAGAACTCCAAACAGCCCCTTCCACAGTCTCAGGAAGAACACACACTTTTGTAAATTTTTTAAAAGTAAAATATTTTGGTATTCTCTTCTGAAAAGGTCCGTCCCCAGCAAACTACACAACCCCTTGTAACACAGGCCTCTCTCTGCGTTTCCTCCCAGACTCGGCCCCATCACTCTGCAGTCCAGCAACCTCCTCCCTTAGATCCAGGGGCTCCTCACACTGCCATTCAGAAGTACATGCACAGGAGATGCAGACACCATGAGAACAGGAGTGACGTACCGGGGAGAGTAGGGAACCGTGGGCGGAGGAGGAATGTACAGATCCAGGATGGCCGGCTTCTCCTTCTTCAGAGAGGCATCCATGGTGCTTTCGGGAGACTTGGTTGTCACGGGTGGGGGTGAACTCTGCAATAGGACCACAGAGAGAGCAAGAGTACAGAGCAGCACAGAGATTATCCCGAGCATACCTTCCCCTGCCCAGATCCAAGACCAGCGCTATGTGCAAGCAGAGGCTGAAGTCATCCATCTGCTGACAGCTACTAAAAGGACTCAACTTATAGCCCTCTTCGAGACACTCAGAGTTAACTGAGGCTGCTCAGGACTCAGGTGCCAAGATTATAATTCTAGCTCTGGGAATATCAACATTCCTGTCTCCCTTTTGTCCTCTAAAAAACAGGGATACTGAAAAGATGGCTTGCAGAGAGGCACAGTATGGACTTAGTTCATGAAAATCTCTAACAGGGTTACCACTGACAAGGACTGTGGGCCTGGCACTCTGTCTGGTGTGACTCTAACTATTCTTCTGATTAGTTCTGTTGCTGAGCCAGTGACTCAGCTCCCCTGTGCCTCCTCTATAAAAAGGGAACTGATGGAAACAAGAATAATACTCAAGAGGGTAGCTCTGAAAAGTGAGACCATAGAGATAAAGGACTGAGGACACTGCTTGTCACATAGAAGAATACACAACCTTATGCTACATTTAACTAGGAATACACATGCACACACACATATTTATATATATATATATAATACACACACACACACCCAAACCTACAAGTTAATTAAAACAGTTTAAAGCCATACAACTTAATTACAGTTAAGTTTAATAGTCTCAAATGACCAGTTTTTTACAATCTTGTGCGAGACCTTCAATCCTACCCTTCTACAGCTGAACAACAGCAGGGATGATAAACCTTCTTCTGATTGGTGAAATCCAAGCATAGAAATCACATGGGCATTTGGCAAAGGCCAGTAAGAACTGTGCCAGACCTGGAGCCTGTCTGCCCAGGTTGTGATAGAAGCCCCAGCTGGAGTGGGACTGTAAGCTGCCTTCCAAGGATAGGAGATAGAGCCAGTGTCAAGAAAACTATAAGTAGCTCCATGACAGGCACAGAAGGACAGCTGTTTTCATGGATTTCTTGAGGCACAGAGAGATGAGGCTCAGTCTTCGGTCTCCTATAGCATAATCCCTACATCTTGGCTCTTGGCCACTAACACAATATCTGTCAGTTCTATTCCAGGTGGAATGATGACCTTCTCCGTATAGCAATCTTGGACCCTATCTAAAAATAGGGCCAGGATCCACACCCTTAGAACCTTGGAAGCAAAAGTGAATCGAAGCATTCCCACAGGACAGTTGTTCCCTAAAATCTCCAACACTGATGATGCCTGCCACATCAGCAGCCCTTGTTTACCAGGACTGTGGTGTAAAAACAAAACGATCACTGAATGTCCTTTTGGCGACAGGACAACACTAAGAATATTGAAAAGAACAAAACATCTCTGTTTCAAGATGGCACACACCTGGGCATAAAGAATGACAGTCAGAGAAATGCCCAGGGTCCGGGGCTGACCAAGTCTACAGTCTTTGTCTAACAGTGTTTATATTGGGAAAATACCCCGATGCACTGTGAGAACATTTCGCAGCTGAGCTGCACAATGACCTCTGCAGTAGTTACCTCCCTAGGTCAGATTCAGAACAAGGCATCCCTGTCTCTCCCTGTCACCTCTTCCCCAAACTGCAGTTAGTGAAACTTGGCAGAAAGGTGCGTAAAACCAGAGAAAATGGGAAAGTATCCCTTCCAAAGTGAGCTTCCAGAGGTCTAGGAACAAACCACCATGTACGTAAACATAATTTTCCCTTATGTTTTAAACACATCCAGGTGGACTTTCCTCTGACTCAATCAGACTGAAGATGCCCCCTGTGCCTGCCCAACAGCTCCTTCCTGGCTTTCTAATTTCTGTCACCACCCAGGTCCCCCATCACATTGGACCATCTGCTTCTTCTCCCTTGCTTTGCTGGCCTTCCTTGCTGCTTCCCCCAAAGCCATTTCTAGTAGGACAGTGAAGCTCAGGGAATGCAATGCCAGCAAGTGGCAAGAGCTGGGATTTATGCTCCACTGCCCCAGCTGTGTGCCATTCTCATAGCCACATGCTGGGCTGTAGTGGGAGTCCTTGGGAGGCTTCTTCCCAGTGGCCTCTTACATTACTAGTCTTTCACCTGATTCTCTCATCATTAGCGGGCCCCAAACCACAGGGCCCACATCCAACTGACACCAGAGTTCCCCACCTGGTGCTCAGGTATTGATTTAGGCAGAACCACGTTCCCTAATTCATATGTTTAAGTCCTAATGCCAGCAGGTTAGGACTCTGAAAGTAAGGCTCTGAATGTGACTGTATTCCAAGATTAGGTCTTTAAAGAGGTTTAAATAAGGTCATTAAGCAAGGCTCAATGACTGAACGCCCCCTCCCCCCACTGAAGAATAGGAGATTAGGACAGACACAAACAGCAGACCAGAAGAAGAGAGGGGAGAAAGGCAGTTATTCTGAAGCTAAGGAGCAAGGACTCAGCCCTGTCAATTCCTTGACTATGGGCTTTATATTTACTTATTTTTGCTGGATTTTTTTCTTTTTCTTTTTGGTTTTTTGAGACAGTCTCACTAGGTAGTTCAGGCTGGCCTTGAGCTCACTATGTAGCCCAGGCTGGTCTCAAACAATCCTCCTGCCTCAGCCTCCTACATGCTGGGATTACAGGTGTGCACCACTACACGTGGCTATGGTGACACTAGAAAAGTATACAGATGCTAATGTAAAAGCAGGAGTCAAACTGCAACCTGTGGGATGAAGTCCACACCCCTTAGCCTGCCACTTAGAATCTACCATTATACCATCTCAGCTAACCAGCCATTTTATCTACCATTTCTAGCTCCAGGGAGTCTGAGTTGCTCGTTGCATTCCTTGCAGTAGGAGCTTGGAGCCTAGCCAGAGCCCCCATATCCCCATGACCACCCTCAATGCCTTTGGTGTTGCTGCTGAAGACTCAGAAATGCCTCTCCTCCAGAGTGTGGCCCTCCACTGACACATGCCTCCCTTGCGCAAATCGCTTATTCTGCCTCCTGAAACACACCCTTAAAAACTGCCTTTATAACAATCTCAGCCCTGCCTCTAGGAAAACCTCACCTAAGACACTGCCCTTCCCTTAAGGCAGCACACCCCCACTGTGTGGGCTAACAGCACTTAAAGAAGAGCATTCTTCTCCTTCCTGGTACAAACGCTCATCTGCCAATGTAGATTCCACCTACCCTTGCACACTACAAAGTGCCCGACTTCACTGGGAAGAGATGCCCTCGCCTACACAGCCCATATTATCTCTTCTCAAAAGCTCAACATTTCCTGTGTGTCAATTAGCTGGCAGAGCTAACTAACACATAGTAGGCACTCCATCAGTGATCTACAGTGAATTAAGCACCTCTGAGATGGTATCATGATTTGAAAAGTCAAGAGCATTTAAATTTAAATGTATCTAAAGTTTTAGTCTGAGCAATGCAAACAATGTAGCTGAAATGTGATCAATATGCTGAGGTGTAAGGAATGACTTACAGGGTATGAGACCCACACGACAAACAACAAAAGCTGAAACAGCAACAGGTTACATCAAACTGAAAAGCTTCTACTCAGCAAAACAAACAATCAGTAGAGTGAAAATACACCCTTTATAACGGGAGAAAGTAATTGCAAGCCATATATCTGATGAGGGTTTAACATCCAAAATACAAAAGGAACTCAGTTCAACAGTGAGAAAAATAAATAGGTCAATTTAAAAATGGGCAAAGGACCTAAATAGACATGTCTGAAAATGAGACACATAAAATGGTCAAAAGGTGTATGAAATAAAGCTCAACATCACTAATCATCAGGAAAATGGAAATCAAGACAATTACACCTCATACCCGCTATCGTGGCTACTACCAAAGAGAAGAGAAATAACAAGTGCTGGTAAGGAATGCAGAAAAGGAAACCCAGATACACCGCTGGTAGGAATGTAAATCAGTGTCTCCATTATAGAAAACAGTATTGAGGGGCCTCAAAAATTAACAATAGAAACACCACATGATCCAGCAATCCTACTACTAGGTATATATCCAAAGGAAATGAAAGTGGTATGTCAAAGAGACATCTGTACTCCCACATGCATGGCAGAATTATTCACAAGCACCAAATTATAGACTCAACCTATGTGTCAACCAAAAGATATGTAAATGAGTAAAAAAAAAATGTAGTATATCCACACACTAGAACATTGCTTAGCCTTACAAAAGAAGGAAATCCTGTCATCTGTGACAATGTGGATGAATGTGGTGGACATTTGTTTAAGTAAAAAAACCAAGGCACAGAAAGATAAATACTGCATGATCTCACTGATATGTGGAATCTAAAAACAGTCAAACTCACAGAAGCAAAGAGCAGGGTGATGGTTATTACCAGCTCAGGAGGAAGGAGGACTGGAGAGATGGTCATTGCAAGAAAAAAAGCTCAGTTCTCCTGGAGAAAGTCAGTTTAAGAGTTCTATTGTACAACATGGCGGCTAGACTTAATAACAATGTATTGGACATTGTGGACAAAGCAGATTTTTAAGTATTCTTGCCACAGACAAATGTATGCCCAACAGGGCATATTTTAGCTTGATTTAGCCAATCTACAGTGTATAAGTATTTCAAAATATTGTACTGTAACCATAAATATATAGTATATGCATTGTAGAAAATTAAACGAATATACAATATATAGTATATAACTTTTAGAATATTAAAATATGCTCACTTATTCTTTGAAAAGCAACTTTAATTATGAGTCCCTATTATTCTGCCCTCTACTTTATTTTTTTGTTTGTTTGTTTTGTTTTTTGTTTTTCTCCGGTACCAGGAACCGAACTCACGACCTTGTGCTTGCCAGGCAGGCGCTTTTGCCGCTGAGCTAAATCCCCAGCCCCTATTCTGCCCTCTACTTTAGGTTCTTTACTTTGATCTCTGACCTTTCTGAGCTGAACTTCGGATATATTTACAGTACTTTACATCACAGAGTGTCCACAGTGATGGCCTGAAACTATGCAAATTCCAGGTGAAGATAAACAGTAAAATCATAGACAGCGTCAATAAATTATAATCTCATTTTGATAAAAGGGCCTTAAAAGGTCACTGCCTCACCCTCTTGGCTTAGGAAGTAACATTAAGGATCAATGGTTATAACAGGGGAGGTGGTCAGTGAGCCCCACAGGCCGTGTGGAGACAAGCAGGGCGTGTAATGTTCAAAGAGAACGTAAACAACAGAAGTCATCTACAGATGGTTTGTCTTTTACTATCACCACAGACTGGCAATTCTGAATAATGCCTAAACAACGGTATGATACTGTTACCAGACAGTTGGTCTCAGTCTCACCTGATTGCTAGGCTCTTTGTATCCCAAACAAAGAGCTGAGTGGGACACACAGAAGTAGTAAGAAAGGCAGAGATTTATTAAAGGAAAGTACATTCCACAGATCAGGATGAGGCAGATAAGAAAAGAGTGACAGTCCCATCAGCTCCAGATCTGGAGGTACAGTATTTATTTGGGTCTTTCTGAGATCTTAGAGTCTGGGGTGGCACCTAAGGGAATTCTGTCCAATTAACTGAAAGTCTCCACCCTCATATCAGGATGGAGCACTTGTACTGGTCCTTTATATGAGCCTGGACTGAACCAGCACGGCTGCCAAAGGCCATGGCAGTATGTGTCAAAATTGCAGTGGTAATGACATTGTAATGACCATGAGGTTACCCTCAGTCTCTCTGAAGCAACAGGAGCACACGCTCCTCAGCCTCACGCCAGAGGTCAGGAAAGTATGGTAAGAGCAGAGCATATTTCTCAGGTTCATGTAGTTAAGGGAATATGGGAGAGTAGGATGTTCTTGTGGTCTCACAGAGCCAGAAGGCATCCTGCCTACTGTGAGCCTAAGGCCAGGATGTCACCCTCACCATCTCCTGTCTCCATGGGTGGACTATATCCACCACCCTTGCCTCTGACTTGATAAAGTGCTGCTAAGAATTCAACCCCATGCAGACTCAATAGGACTGTGCTAAAATTGTGTACAGTTACACACGTCTGAAATGGTGGAAGAAACCCAGAGTGAATGTTGTACAGCAGTGGAAACGTCTCTACCTATGCTGTCTGCCATGGTAGCACAAGTGACACGTGACTATTCAGCACCTGAATGAAGCCAGGAGGATGGAGGAATTGAACTCTGCATTATTTTATTACTTCAAACAGTCTGCTATGGCTAGTGGCTATCATACTGTCCAGTGTAGATTTAGAATTTGTATGAGCAGGCTTATAGAATAAGCATATACAAACCAACTCCTGAAAGCAACCATCTTCATATTTTAATCTTTTGTTTTTTTAAGGAGACAAGCTAGACCCTCATCCTGATTTCCCCCTGATACTGGACAAATCCTACAAAAATGACAGTTACCTGCACAAGAGGTGGCTTCCACCTCAAGTTCTTCAGAGGGGCGGGAGTGAAGTTGAATGAACCTGTAGGCCTCTTCTTCAGCAGTAACACAACTCCAGTGGGATTCTCTCTCAATTTCCTCACCAGGTTTTTTAGCTGCCATCCCACCTTCAGCGGGAGAGAACAAGTTAGCAGCACTGGCTCATGAATAAAGAAAAACCAGTCTGTGAATTTATCTCAAGGGACTGAGAGTTGTGACCAAACAAACAGGTAGCACAAGTTTGTCTTAGCACCTCCTAAGAGTGCAGAAAATCAGACAGAAATTGCACATTTAAAAAATTTAAACCAAAGGATTTTAGATTTAGTCTAAAGGGGGAAAGTAGGCCTGGAGAGACAAACTCACCACAGTTTGCCGGTTAACTTGGATGACTTCATCACCAGCATGAATTTTCTGAGACCTGTCTGCAGGAGACTGCATAGAAAGAAAGAGACTCGTCTGAGTTTTGTACACCTCCTATTACTTTCCGCTTCTACTCTTTCTTCTGTGAACAACTAAATAAAACTTTCCTCAGGAAAAAGAAGATAATGTATTAGTCTTCTGAGATTATGTAGTCCATTGAAGCCGGCAGGTAAAGACTATGTTCTCTGTGTTATTGGTGTCTGTTGTAATAGATAATCTGTCCATTAGACCAGTTAGGTTTATTTCACCTACGGGAAGTCTGGACGCCCTGCTGAAATGATCAGTTGCTAAAAACCACTGGATCATCTCAAAAATACCTCACAAATATCTCCATCAGAATTAATCATGTGAAAGCTGACATACCGTTTAACAGGTAAGGATTATCTTTGTAACTCTGCCATCCCTTTTCCTTATTAAGCTTAAATCTCTTCCCACAGATTTTTACATAATGTCACAATGGTATTAAAATAAAAAGTTGATAGCAGTAGAAGGAATCTGAAGAAAACAAATATAATTTTTTAATTTCCAGCTAAATTCAAAGTGAGTGAGCCTTCAGTACCAAGACAAAGTCCAAACTTCATTTCTCCCCAGTAATACATGGCTATTAATTTGCAAAATAAAAATTTTATTTTTAGATTAGATCCCACAAAGGGATCTAATCCATCTGCCAACTCTTTTTCTCAGAGTATTCTTGTGGACACAAGCAACATAGCACTCTACATGTTTAACAACTCTCACAGAACAGAGAGAAGCGAAAGAAAACTTTGATTTCAGAGAGTCTAATTAAACATTATGTAAGTCAAAGTAGTTAATGTTGTAACTTTATAACTGGCTGGAATCATCAAACAATTTACAGCTCTCCTAAAACAAAATAACACCTTTGAACACGAGGAGGGGGACAAAAAACTCAAGACACACTTGCTGAATTTTGTCACTCTAGGATAAGCCCCACAAGAAATGAAGGAGCAGGGGCTGGGGATTTAGCTCAGCGGCAAAGCTCCTGCCTGGCAAGCGCAAGGTCGTGAGTTCAGTTCCCGGTACCAGAGAAAAACCAAAAAAAAAAAAAAAAAGAAAGAAAGAAATGAAGGAGCAGCATGAAACTGTACAAAAGCTCTTTTTTATTTATCCAGACTCAACACAAGGCACAGGTAACCGTGCCGGTTATTTTGGAGAACATTCAGCCCTGCGCCATAACAACTAGCACTGCCTCACCTGACCCTCTGAACACAGGTACCACAGAGAGATGTCTATCTAGAATCTCTTTCTCGTGAGTCACTCTTCTAAAAAATGTATTTATCTCTGCTCCTTTTTGTACCTTCCTGTGTCAGACACTTAACCCACAGTGTCATGATGAGCACAGGGTGTTTCATCTTCCTGAGCAGAGTCATTTAATGTAAGTACTCTATAAAACATGGCCCCAAGGCCAAGAAGTCCCTGTTTATTGACCTACAATCATAAAACACAAGCACTCGTGTCCTCGGCTGACTTCCCTTCCTAAGGACCTCCATGCATTCATTTCTCAAATGTTCCACCAAGCAATCAGGAGTCATGTGTTGGCAGAACACTGGTAAAGAGAGAGCTTGATACCAAAACTTTCCCCAGGGCAGTAACTCCTGCTTATCTTCACCACAAGTCAGACTACTGAAAAATGATGCTTGTTCTGGTTTGCTGCAGAAGGGTGATGACCTGAAGAAGAATGCCCTTATTTCAGAAGCTAATCTACTCTCCACCTCATCTCACAGTGGAGGATAGGAATACGGATAGGGTGGTGTCACAATTCCCTTCCAGATCCTGAATAACATCAAAAAAGAAATCAGATAGAGAATCGCTGTGGAACGATCCTGACCTTTGAGGTAACCTCCAAAAAATAACTGGTACTCTGAGAATGGTCTGCTGGGATTGCAACAGTCTGGAGCCCAAGAAAGGAGCATGGAGACCATCCAGTTGGGAAAGCAATGGGAGACTTCTGCCCACTGCCATTCACCCTTTAAAACAGTCTGATTCTGAAATTATAAGTGTAAAGTATCTACCAGTAAGTGTAAAATATCCAGATTAAGCCCTTGGAAAGTGGGCTCTTCCCTACTCGCTCCCCTCAGCTACAAGACTCAGCTCAGTGTGCAGCGCATGCCAAGCATTCAATAAACGCAACTATGATAAATGGTATTTTACATGGATTAACAGACAGAAGGTAAGTTTTTCTTTTCTGATCTGTAGCAACGTGTTAACAACTTGTTTTTGTGATCCTGTCCATACAGTTCTACACAGAGAACCCCAGAGTAGACTTCCGCTACGGAAACCCTGGACCTGTTACCTGGTATTATGATTCTGTTAGGACTCTGGGAGGATATGCACCATCGATGACATTTGACATTGCATTTGAATAAAAGGCAATTTTGTTTAAGACTCTTATTCAACTCTCATCTTTAAACAAAAAGGGGCGAGGCAGAAGAGCCTATGCTGTCTGGTGGTGATGCTATAGTGTTTCACACGTTTATTCAGGAGTACAATTGCTTCAAGCAGAGCAGGTACAGTTTGAAACCAGGTCTGGTTATCTCAAACCACATAGTCACCATATTGCAAGACTGCAAAACTCTTTAAAAACTGAAGTGACACTCTCTATCTTTCTGAATTTATCCAACTCCAAAACGATATGCTACGTGGTCCACGCGCAAGCTCTTATCATGGTTGAGCCACAGCCTACCTACTTCAGCATGAGTTATGCAAAGCATTGTGTCTTTTTTTTTCTTTAGTACAATCCCTAGCCTAAAACTGTGAAGCTCTCTTCTGGTGTTGTTTATTATTACCTGTTAGGTGAGGTGGTGCAAAAATTCCTAGTGATTCTCAGTGTTGAGTCTCAGCCTAGAATGCTTAAAGACATTATTATCTTCCACTCACCTGTCTACAAGAACCATGTAATTGATTTACAATCCATTGATTACCTTAAGCAATGTCATTTTCTTACTGTAAAAATCAAGTGCCTATCATAAACACTCATCAAAGACTATGCCACTTTCTTTTCTCAAAAGACCTAGCAACTGAAACTTAAAATAAGACATGCATTTTCACCACAATAGACTAGAAAATAGTTACCAAAATTTCTGCTATTTTTGGAGTTTTTTTCTTTCTCCTAATTGATTAAATAATAGATTAGTTCATCAGACACATACTTCTTTTACATAGACCCAGGGAAGCTACTCAAACATTTTTAGCTTCAGGTCAATGTCAATCATTGAACAGCTGGCCATGCTGTAGGCTGCAAAAAGAACATGCAACTAGTTCCCATTTTTGCAAATTCAAAACACTTGAGGCAGTAAGAACCACCCTACATACAACAAAATTTCCAGAAGTCAGCAGTATATAAAATCTCTTACAGTAGAAACAGACCTGCTTTTTCTATTCCAAGGACTAGGAAGACAGGATTAAAATTCAGTATCATAACAAATATTATGAAATGAAACTACAGAAAGAGTTTGGCTCATGCAAAAATCTCAAAATAACTCCTCTGGAGATACATAAAATTTCTGTTAAACAACAAAAAAAATATATTTTACACATATGACCATAAATCCCTGTTCTTCTAAGAGCAACTCAAAATAACAGAGAGAATATTGTTTGCATATTTATAGTTTAGCATTTGCATGGTGCAAAAGCAACAATTAACACAAGGGTGAGGGTAAGAACTCAGCATGGTGTGTGCACAAGACCAATAAAAGACAATTTAAATAATAAATTGACGACAGCTGGTGATAAGCAGTACAGTAGTCTATCAACAGACAAAACAGGAACCCACACTAGCTCTCACTACAGATGAGAGCACACACACATTTAAATGAAAAGAACAAAGCTCTGTGTCAAATTTGCTTAAATACACAATGGCTTTCACATTTAAAGGGTGCACTTACATTTTCCGTAGTTCCAGTAATCACGTGCAACCCGTCGTACGTTGATTTGATGTACATGCCCTAGAATGAATCACAAATACATTAACTTATTATGGCAACATGGACACAGAGGAGCCACAAGTGAGACTTGAACTTATAAAACATTAAGTACCGTCCCTTCATAACAATGCCCATTTTTAAGCCTCCTGAAACACCCATGAAACAAGATCCAGAGGGCAGTGAAGAAGAACTAAACAACCGAAAGCCGAGTGAAAGAAATCAGATGTGCGATCTCTTTGATATTATAATTTGTGTACATGACACATAGAAATTTGCCACGACTCTTTGGGATGTAGGAATTTTCTCAGACCTGCTCACGAGTGAGGATTTCAAACAACGACTCTTCTTTCCTGACCACCTCTTTGTCCAGGGACACAATGCAGTCAGTTAAATTTGGTATCAGTAGTAATTGTAGGGCCATTTATTTAAGCTGACAGTAATGCAGATGGGGATACACAAATGAACACTGGTACATAATACAGCACAGGTAGCAAATTAGAACAAGCACTGCTCCATTTTTAGGGAAGGAGGAGGATGAGTATATTTCTTCTAAAAAGCCTATGGGCTAAATTAGAGATGAATACCGCACCATCCGGGAAACATTCTTGCAGTTGGACAATTCACATGTAAAATATTTTTATTAAACTACTATAATATGGGGAAAGAACCGAAAAAAAGGAGTTGCTCATCCCAGTACCTATATTATAATACTGTCAAAGTCATTCTGACCCTGAACTTGCCCTGCTCAGTAACCTAGACCCCTATATAAAGAGAATCTCATCTGGCATGAAGGCCCTCAAGGTTCCCCCCACTTCTCTCAAAACATTGCCTTGATTTGCAGAACTACGAGCTCCCAACACCCAGCGATAGCCTCTTCCCAGGCCACGCATGTATAACGGGAAAGGGCAACTCACTGTGACAGGCACTAGGGAATCCATGCTTCCATGCTTAACTATAAACTCACTCTCAGGAACTCCTCCCTGTTCACTCTGCTATAATCTATCACTTACACTGAAGCCAAGTATCATATATAGATTTCTGCTCACTAAGAACTTGAGTTTATTGACATTTGATTTTTTTAAAATTTCCAGACTGGGTCTTGCTAACTTCCCTAGGCTGGGATCAAGCGTGCAATCCTCCTGCCTCAGTCTTCTGGAGTGCTAGGGTTACAGGTCTGCACCACCATGTCCAGCTTTTGTTTTCTTATCTAAGAAGAGACACTTAGAGACTTATTGATGTTCCCCGTGGCTGTCTACACACAGGGCGCCTCTGCCCTCCTCTTCCTCCTCCTCCTCATCATCATCTTCACCATCACCATCAATAGAAGTAACCTGATCTAGAGCCACTAATTAATGAACACACTTTATGCTTTCAGGGTTGGGTATTTGTCATTCATCTAATTTAATCCTTTCAACAGCCCTAGGAAGAAACTGACATGTAAGCTCTCACAGACTCAAAGGTTCTAAGCTAATTCAGTGGGCCCAGTGTTGTTTAAATTCCAGCAGATTAATCCTATGGGATACACACCACAAACTGAGAAATCACATATCTCAGAGCTGCGTCTTGCGCACAACTTATAAGACACTTTAAATGGGCATCATTTCCTTCCCCAGCCTCTTCTCACTTTCATCATAAGTGCTAATAGACACTTTCAGAACAGATGTTGTTTTTGTACCCAGAGACCATCCCTTCTTTGGGTAAATGTTTCATAGTTCCTTGCATTGCTAGGTCCTAAAAATAAAGCCATTAAGATAGGAGTACACAGCTTTTAAATTATATTTATTTTTATACTATGAAGATAAAAACATATCAACAGAGTTTAAAATAACAAATTCCTAACTGTATAACAGATGGTAATCCAATTTAATTCCACTATTCAGAATTACAGTGAAAATAATAAGAAATATTTAAAGAAAACTTCAGTAAAGTCTGGTATGGATTATTTAAAAAATAATTTGAGAAATAAAACAAGTGTTAGAGCTCTTACCAAGCCTTCCCCAGGTTTAACGTTGGGTAAGTGAACCTCCTCCAGGCATGCGCACTGGCTCATAACAGGGTCGGTGGCAGATCGAATTGTTTTGTCACAGATGCCATTTAAAACTTTGACCTAGAATTGGAGAGGCAAATTGTCAGGACAGTGCAACTGGTAGTCAGGTTTATCTCAAGCTGGGTTTTAAAGAAATGCACTTCACTTATAATCTTCAGCTATGGTAGGCAATCATTCTGATAATTTTCAATGAAGGGAAAGCGCTTGGCCTCTCTATTTGCAGTCTTGGGAATGGTGTCCCTATTTCAGCTTTGTTTAAAAACTGTGGCTTTTATATTAACTCCTCTCCAGCCATTGAAGAGCATAAGCCAGGAGAAACGCCCTTTCTGCTGTGAAGGCGAAAGTATCTCTTTCCAGGCACCCAAATGGCTTACCAGTGACAGCTCACATTATCCCAAATATTAACAAGGTCAAAACAAAATACTTTGCGGCCTGAAATATACTTTTTAAATAGACTGTTTTTTTTAAAATAGGTTTATGTTTATGGAAAAATTGAACAAGTAATTGTGTTTCCCTCCCCCCACTCATCTGCCTTCAGTATTAACATCTTTCTCTAGTAGGGCACCTTTGTCACAACCAATACCGAAATACTGAGACATTCTTATTCACCCTACAAAGATGACAGATCAGATGTTACCCCTTAACAACATGTAAGCAGAGTTTGTATCTCTCACATCAGCCATGACCTCTAAAGGGTTAACTAAAATCTATAATTTGCACAGATGTTCATTCTTTGTGATGTACATTCTATGGGTTTTGATGTACATTCAATGTTATGGATCCATCATTATAGTATCACAAAGACTTTCACTGCCCTAAATATCCCCTCTCCATGGCCTAATTATCTGTTTCCCACTTCCCTGCCACGAACTCCCTGGGAATTAGAATTTTAAATAGTTGGGGTTATATAGCACATAGCCTTTTTTCAAATGGCTTCTTTTTATTGCTGAATAATATTCTATTTTATGGTTGTGCCATATTTTTCTATTCATTCACCAATAAAATAATATTGTGATTGCTTTCAATTTTGGGCAATTATGAATAAAACTGCTCTAAATGTTGTGTGTAATTCAGTACAAATTTTTGTGGATATAAGTCTTTAACTTTGCTGGGTACACACCTTGCTATGCAACTAGTGGATGATGTGGTCAAAATATGTTTAGTTTTGCAAGAAGTTGCCAAACTGTCCTCTAACCTGTCTGTACCATTTTGCTTTCCCAGCAGTAAGAGGGACTGCTGCTCCGTAATTCCCCAGTACTTTGTGTTGTAAATGCTTTGAATCTCAGCCACTCCAAAGGATGTGATGCTATCTCAATTCGCAATTCCCTAACTACAAAGGATGCTGACCACTTTTCATGTGCTTATTTGTCATCTGTGTGCCTTCTTTGGTAAAGTGACTTTTCAGATATTTTACCCACTTGTTAGGTTGTCTTTTTAAGAGTTCTTTGTACATTTTGGATATAAGTCTTATGTGTTTTGAAAATATTTTCTCCCAGTCTGTGGCTTGTCACTGCATTCTCTTAACACTGCATTTCCCAGAGCAGAGTTTTTCATTGCAAAGGCATCTATATTGTCTACTTATTTGTCAACTGTGCTTTTGATTTTCTATCTAAAAACTTACTACCAAGGCTGCCTAATTTTTTTCCTACAATATCTCCTAGAAGATGCTATGCTCTCACTTTGCACTTATGTCTATGGTCATTTTAGTAATAGTTCATATTTGCTGAATGCAAACACCAACAAGGTAAAACACTACGGGTACAAGAAAGGGTAACTATTAAAAGGTCTCTATAAAAGCCATGGTGATACTTGGCCCAATCAGATCCATCTAATCTTTCAAAATTAAACAACCAATGAAATCAGGAAATTCCAAAGAGTGTTTCTTTTTTTTCTTTCTAAGGGGGAGAATCCAAGAAATGACACATTTTTACATTCCTCTAATTTGTTTAGCCTCCCTATTTATGGAAAATATATTTATAGCAGTTTCATTGCTAAATTTCTGAACATCAGTAGGAGGAAGACCTTATCAAAAGAGCACAGGCTGGTTTATATCAAAAGGAGGAAGTTCTGATGAATAGTTTTAAAATGCTCTTTAAACAGTCATAGTACACCCCCTCCTCCCACATCATAAAGATTTTGCCAAGAATTTTTTTATCAAAATGGTCCTAAAGTTAACTCTGAAAATCAGCTTAACCCCTATTAGCACACTAAGCTAGCAGTTTATGTTCAATTTTACTCCGACGAACTGCTCAGAAGACAAACAAAAACAAAGTAAACAAACAAAAAACCAGAAACCCCAATGTAGCTAATTTAAACTCAGGAATTCTTACAATTCTTGGTCTTGTCAAATAATTTCATCCTTCCCCTTTTACCTAAATTAATAGATCGTGTCCTAAAAGCAAACATTTCAAATTATAGTGCAAGGTAATTAGCCATAGTGCATTGACTTTAATGTGATTCCCACTACCTTTGGAAAAGGAATTTTATATAACTTTCAGAAAGTATACTTACTACAGATAAAACTTTATCCTCCATTTCTGCTACAAGGCAATCCTAAAGAAAAAAAGAAAATGCAAACTGAGAAAGAGGAAATTTAAAAACTACCAGCTTAGCCTTATAGATTTTTCCAGGAGCTCATACAGTCCCTGACGTACACCCTGCCCATGCCTCAGCTTGAACACCCTTCCTGTCTGGAGAGGAGAAAGGGAAAGAATGGCAATGAAGCTCGCATCTATCTTTTCATAAAGTCTTGTTCTTCCCCTGACCTAAGGAGCTTATCATTAAAGCAACCCAAGTGACCAATTATTTAATGAAAGACCTGCAAAAATCACTGAATAGAAATCCACATACTACCTAGACTCTCCAGGGAATACAGTGTACTAAGTCAGAAGTCCAAGTCCAAAAAACCTGCCAACAGCTCCCAGTATGGCCCAAGCTAAGCTAGCAGCAGCCCAACCAGCCAGCAGTCCTAAGCTCTGGCCTGCCTTATAAGAAGAGCTTTCCAACAAGGGCTTGAGTAAACTCAGCCACAAAAGTTTATTTTAAGCAGCACTGAGATTAAATCAGATATTTCAGTCCTTGGTAGATGAAAAAAGTTTAACAAAACATTCATTAAGACTCTGCCAAAAAAGTGGTCTTGAGGTATGCTATTGATATAAAGGGTTGGAATGCAAAGCATTATTTACTCAGCTCAAGAACAAAAGACCCAAGACACAGTACACAGTACGAACAGAGTTAGCTGATCACAGAAATCACCACTGTCCTGTTAGAAGGAACCAATGTGAAAGTTTCACAGCTAGCCTTCTGGAACTATCCACGGCAGTGGATTTCAACCCACACTGTAGCTGTGTACGTGGAAGTAAAGTGAGCCAGACTAGTCTCTTAGAATTTATCCTGCATCGGTAACCATGATCCAAACTAGGACAATCTTAGGGATAATAATGATAATTTTAGCTACATGAAAAATACCTCTGTTGAAGGGAAAAGATAAACTATTATTGGCAGAGGGAATGGGATGGATACCAACTTCTTCTACCTTAGGAGAATTAACCAGACTTTCATTGTTTTAATTTTTTAATCATCTCTACTAGATAAAACTAGAAAATAATAGCAACTTCTCTACTGCTCTCAAAACTGATACCTGCCTCTTAAGAAAAGAGTAGCGTAAGGAGAAAAAAATTAAGAAGAAACTGAGAAATTTCCTTTTGGTAATTTTGACATATTTGAATCTGATATAAATCCAAACTTCAGGAGCAATGTATATAAAATACAAATAATTTTAGGTCAAAAATGTGCCTTTCTGCCCTGTCATATGCCTGGAACTAAGTCACAGTCACTATAATAGTTCATTTCCTATTTTTACTGATTGACAGCTATCACGTAAATATCAACCCCAGAAAACAGTATATTCATATGGTCTTATGATGGAAACACAACTCATAATTTGTGTCTGTGATCTTTCATTACAAATCACAAAATGTTACCAGTGCTGTGATCCTTGAAGACTGTCACCCAGAGGCAGAGAGCTCCTCCCATTACACTAGGGCCCAAGGGTCAGGGTCATGGTGTGACCATATCGTTCCCAGTAGTTGATTTTTTGACAGATCCAAGTACCTACCAAGAAAATAGGCCCCCTATTGTGGCAACTGAGCCACCAGGCACAAGTCTGCCTCCCAACTATTCACCTGGCGTGTGAAAGGGCTGTCCTTCCACCTCCCACCATGGTGGACACGGGTTCCCACACCCAGCCCTACTGAGAGGAAGCAGCTGTGGTGTGACTTCACAGTGTTTGGCATGAAAGCAACAGAATGGAAAAAGAGGTACTGGAACGAGTCACCCCCTCATGAGTCAGAGAGTGAGGCAGAGCTCATTACTGTCCCAGATCACCTGAACTGGCAGTCATAGCCTAACCTGGCAGCCGGGAACACTGCCCTGGCTGGTCTCTCCGGCCCCCGGCCTCCAATCCTTACTGTGCCTTCTTAGGAACTGAGACCTTGGGCAATATGTTTAGTATCTCTGTGCCTCTATTTCCTTCTGTATAAAATAGGACCCTCCTTCTGAGTCTAAATTCATTAAATAACTTCCCTGAATATATTTATCTATCTTCAGGCTTCATCCTTTAAAACTCTTTAAATTTAAAATTTTTTTAAAAATCAGAAAGTAAGAGCAACATATTTTTCATTTCTCTCTTCAACTGTCAAATTTGGTTCCAGAAAACTAACACAAAGCAAAATTTTTTATATCTCCTCTTCTGTAATTTTGGTTGTAATATGGGATAGCTCATGTAACCTCCAAAACAATATTTTGAAGGAGATATTTTGTTCTAAATATCTTGTATTTTGACTGGAGGAGAAGCTCAATGGTAGAGCACTTGCCTACCAGGGCTTAGGTTAATCTCCAGGTTCATATATGAACAGATAGCATTTATCTATACCTGATTTTCCATGAATGCATAAATGTGATCATGTATAAGATTTTTGTGAGGGCCTGGGGATTTAGCTCAGCAGCACAGTGCCTGCCTGGCAAGCACAAAGATTGTGAGTTCGATTCTCGATACCAGGAAAAAAAAAACAAAAAAATTTTTGTGAATGAAAATGTTCTGTCATTTTTGTTTTTTGTTTTCATTTTTATTTATTTTTGCTTGGTTCCTACTTTCTCTTTCACCTCCCTCCTTGCCACAGCAAATTCAATTTTTCTTCCACATTGCCCATTCCACAACTTCTAACTTTACAAGGAGGACTGTGGATATATACATACATGTGTATTACAAATACACACACAGAGACACACACATTTTTGTCACCATCTCCCTTCACTTTTCACTATTTTCCCTTCTTCTTTACTCAACAATAACTTGTAGAAATCCTACCAAGTCGTCTGGAAAGATAAATATTTGTATTTCCATTTTACAGATAAAACAATTTTAAGTAAATTATCCAAGGGAAAATGTTGGTAGAGGGAGATGCAAACCTATAACTGTCTCTCTAAAAAGAACATGCTCTTGCCTACTATAGATTAAACTCCCTCAATAAGCATCACAGGGAAAAACTTATAAAATGAATGCCCACACTAATAATACCTATAATGTCCCTGGAGTTTGGGTTCACTTTCCCCTGATAAAACATCAGTTCTTCTTTGAAGAGCATCTTTGTCAGAACTGACTCATTCCTTAAAATGCACATTATAGAAAGTGTATCATTAACCATCTAACAGGTATCGTGAGCCACCAATACGTAAGGACAGGTAGCATGAGAGTACTCAGCAGAAACCCTTCTAATGTGACCAGATCAGGGCCTGCATCTTTCATATGAAGACTTTTTTAATCACCAGTTCATAATGATCAAAACTCTATAACCACATGGAAAGGATCACTTAAACTGATGCATGAGCTCACCCATCCCAGGGAGCAGAGAATTTTACTGGTCCAAGTACTCAACTGTCACCTTCCCAGTGAGCGTAACTGTCACCAAGTACCACAATTATATTCCACGTTCAACCTTCCAGTGGCCCTTCCCTGCTTAGCACTACTCCTCTGTTACGTCACTGCATGCACATAGTGCGAGTGTGTATGTTTGTGCGTGTGTATTACTGTGTTTTAGTTCTTAGTTTTCTTATCTCCCCAGAGACTGTTGATCAGTTTCTTTACTCTGGCACCCCAGTGCCTAGAATAGTGGCAGACAGAGTAAGAGTCCATAAATATTTATTGAAGGAACTGCCCCACTTCCTGCAAAGGTGGTGTCAACCTGCTTAGGCAAAGCAGACTCCCCACGAAGACAAACACAAGTACTCTGCCCTTTGCTTTGTCACTGTCCTCTGCTTACCCTGCAGCACAGACAGCCTGAGTCAGGCACATGACCTAGGACCCTTCACCAGAAAGCACAGGTGTACCTGTGAGGAAAAATGTACCTATTTGCTAAGTACTATGTTTAGATTTAACACTTTAATTTAGATATTGGCATGCAAAATTGGCATGGAAGAAATGCAGGAAGAAAAAGAACACTCAGGAAAGTATTAGGGAAATGCCTTCCACCACCAACGCCAGACCTCTGAGACTGCATGACTCATGGGTCACAGTTACTGTCAAAACTCTGTGAAAGTTACCATCTGTATCATAAAAAGGAGCAAACCATTTAATAGCTCTGAGCACCTTCCTCAGATCATGGTCTCAAAAGTACATTGCCTGAAGTTCAATGGCTGCTCAGAACTGGGTCTCAAACACTTGCCAGGGGCAAAGCCAAGCTTAATTCTTCATCTTACAGAGAAAACACAGTTTTTCACAATTGCATCTCTGTTACACCATGGTCAGGATTGAGGGAAAGCTGTTCTTTATTTTTTTGCTAAATGATCAGTGGAAACAAACTTTGAATCACAGTATTTTAGAATCAAGTACGATGTGGAAGACAAAGGCTCTTCCTTATATTTTACAACCTCGATTCAATTCAAAAATATGTGTCTGATATGCAAAGTAAAATGACAGGAAGTGGTCTTCAGTGCTCAGAGACTGGTAATTTCTTGTCAAGATCACAGAAGCTAGGTAAGTTAAAGATGGATATAAAATTTCCTGGGCCCTTGCTGAGATACCTAGAACTGGGCAATGAGCCATGAGTGAAAGTGACATGTGTCACCTCCAGACCAGAAGATACATCAATACGGGAACCGCCAAAGCTCTCTGTCTCTCTGTCCTGAGGACAAACAACATTAGACACCAGTTGTTCTGTCAGCCTATGTCCTAAAATGAGGAGGATCAGATCATATCTTCCAGCTGACCATTAGGATACAACTGCTGGGGTTTGAAAGTTGTTACTGCCTCATAACTTAGCCCATCCTGACTGGTAAATCCAACAACTGGAGGTCAGAATGAAAGGTCAGAATCCACACATTTAATAAACTACTGAGAGCAAAGATTATAGTGAGCATTTCTATTTAAATTAAGCTTGAACATTTGAGAGGGAGTATAATACAGCTCAACTATTTTAAAACAAAAAGAGATAATCTCTGATTCAAAGGCCATGGGGTCATTTTTCACAGAGGTTATCTGTATGATGCATCTAAATTAAAGCCTTTCATCTCACCCCAATTCTGGTGGGAAAAACTGAGGTGGAGGTACTCCATACCTGCATGGAAACGCTTTGAAAAAGAAAAATAGGGAAAAGACAATTTTAGAAACCCATAATGATTTACTACTGACCTTCTGGACTGTAGTAGTCAGGTCTAAGCAAAGCTGAATGATTTTGTTCTTCGTGACTGAGAAGTCAGTGATCCCTGTAAATGGAGCCCTGGAAAGTAACAAAAAAATTCTCTTTTAAAAAAAGAGGTAGTGAGAGAAATCCACCAGGGCCCAACACTTTCTGTTGGCAGGTATAAATAGGCTAGTTTAAATCATTTTTCATATTACTATTTTGTCTCAAGTAAAACATCAAATAGGAATCTGAATAGAAAAGGGACAGAGAAGTGCTATATAAAAACAAATCCAAAAATAAGCCAAAAATGAATGTCCCTTCAGAAGTGAACTAACAGCCTTCATACCAACCAATACTCAACCATTAATGTTTAATCTCAGTAGCACATAACCTTTAGCAGTTTCACTCCTCTCTAAACTGAGGTTAAATTCTTCCCGTTATGAACCTTTTAAGTCATGTTCACAGGAAGCCTAAGCCACTTGTGATCCAGGATTCCTGAGTCCCAGCAAAAAGGGGCAAAGGAACAATGGTTTGTTTTCCTAAGATACAAGATTGGCTTTGGTACATCTCAGATCCTCTTCTTAGAACCCAGCAAAAGGCATGTGAGCTACTCACCTATCCAGCCAAGCCAGCAAAGCCTTGGCAGCGCCTATGAGCTCCACCACCGAAGTTAGGAGCTCATTGGGCGGCTTATGGGACGTGTTCCCATCATAAGCTGGACTTTTCCGCCGGCTACTTATGTGATTCTGTAAATTATTGGAAGACGCCCGCAGTTTCAAAACCAAATTCTTCATATTATCAGTCTCAAGGCCATAATTCTGTAGGAAAGAATGCAAAACAATCAACAAAGTCTGAACCCTCCTAATAACTCAAGAGCCCCCTGAGCAAGAACTCCTATCTACAAGCCACCAAAACAATCCTGCCTGATCCACCCAGGGCTCACTCACCCAATCCCCACTACTACCACCATCCTGGCTTTCTCTCTGCTCCTTCCACAGCTGGCTCCTAACTCTAAGGGAATTTGTTCTTGCTGGTTCCTCTTCCCAAAATCCTGCTGGCATGGATCTTGGCATAGATAGCAATTCTTATCACTCAGGTGCTGGCCCAAAGGTCTCTTCAGATTATCTGGGAGGACTGGTGACCACTTAATCAATAGTAGGCTTTCTCAGCCTGGGTTGTACTGACACACAGGGTGGATAATTCGGGTTTGGGGGGAAGGGTCCTCCGTATTCCAAGACCTTCAGTGGCACCTCGGGTTCTACCCACATCAGCAGCATCCCCTCCCCGGCTGGGTGAACCAAAAATGTTTCCTGACATTGCCACATGGTCCCTGTGGGTAGAATAATGCCCTCAAGGCACTCTCCAGCACACTACCTATTTCTGCCCCCCTTGGGATCACAAAGTTTGCTGCTATCTTCTCCGGTGAGATTCAAAGTCTGTAATAACAGGGCTCACACTACGCTTTCAGTTCAGCAGGCAAGATATGCCACAACCAGCAAATACATGAAGTCCCTTTAGATGACACTCACAGAAAAGAGCTATAATGGCTAAATGTCAGCTCACCTGAAATGTAATTCCATTCTCTATCTCTCTCTCTCAAACTTCCGACCTGTTTTTGTTTTCTTATTTTGCTTTTGTTCTGTTTCTTTTGTTTTGCTTTGTTGTAACAATGTTCAGCTTACTTGAGTGCTTTAAAACCATCGATTTCACATGACAATATCGCCCTAAGCCCGTGGTGGCCTATCTATGGTGCCACAGCAGGCTGTTTGTTATCACTGAAAGTTCTAAAAAGCTCACCATCACTGCCCTAGACTCTTTTTCAGATTAAGAACCAGTCCCAGGGAACAACTCATACATCTGAGGCAGGGTATGAATTTCTGTATTGACTTGTATATCCATGTCCTACATTGGTGTTTGATCTTTGAAAGGAAAGGGAAGGTATTTCTAGGGGTATAATCTACTGTCTCACTAGTATCCCAAAGTAAGAACCTAGCACCATTTAAAACTAGGAATAATATAACAGCTAACATTACTGGACACTTAATGTCAGGAACTGAGTTAAGTACTCAATTCATGTTAATCTCAGGGAAACCATCCATGAGGGTACAAGCCTTACTACAGATTGAGTGCCCCTTAAGAAAAATGCTTGTGATCAGAAGTATTTCAGCTTTTGAAATATTTGCACATAAGACCCAAATGTAAACACAAAATTCATTTTTATTTCATATACACATAGCCTGAAGGTAATTTTACAAGGCTTTTCTTTTTTTGGTTTTTGTTTGCTTTGTTTTGTTTTGTTTTGTTTTGTTTGTGGTACAGGAGGTTGAAACCAGGGCCTTTGCACTGAGATACTACATCCCCAAACCCTTTTTTTTTAACTCCTTTATTTTGAGACAGGGGCTCATTAAGCTGCACAGGCTGGGCTTGAACTTGCAGTTCTTCTTTCCCCAGACTCCCCGAGTGCTGGTATCACAGGCTCCTGCCACCACATCTGGCATCTACTCAATATATTTAGTGTGCCTGTGTTTTGATTGTGAGCCGTCACACAAGGTCAGATATAGAGTTTTTCACTTATAGTATTTTGATGGCTCTCAAAATATTTTAGCCTTTGGAGCGTTTTAGATTTATGATTTTCACATTAAGGATGGAATGCTCAACCTTATTTCTGTCTCACAGGTAAAAAACTATAAACTCTCCAGGTTTACACAGCTAATAGGTAGTAGGGGAACTGTTCTATTCAAGGCACTCTATATCCAGCAACAGCTTTGGATCAATATGTTGTGTACTCCTACTTTCCTTCTACTCTGCCCAAGAAAGGGCCAAGTAACTGGACTGGAAAAAGGAAAGGTATTAGACAAAAACAAGGGAAACTGGCCAGTGATTCTGGATCTAACACAACTACCATGCTGTGTAACTCCCCAAAACCCTAACATGCTCTATCCCTTCTAAAGTGTTAGGAGCTTTCATTTAGCCGGTTCTATCCAGCCAGCCATCTAGGCCAAAAAGGGACTGCTATGGCTCATGTCAGGATGCACATTCCCCCAAAAGCCTCATGCAGTCATAGGTGAGGCTTTTCAGAGGTGGCTAGATCCAGATTAAGGGAGTGAGTGCTACCTACTTGAAGTAGCATAGATAAGATGTAAGGGATAGAAAGAGCTATGATCATCCCTTGCTTGCCTGCTTTGCTAAGTTCTGCCCATCATGAACTGTTTCTCCTTTGCAATGCCTGCCTTGGAGCCAGCCAATCGTGGGTTGAAACTTCTATAAACTAGAGCTAAATAAACCTTTCCTCCTTTAACTTTGAATCTTAGCAATGAAAGAAGTAAGGCAGGGACTATGTTTAAAAATCAAGAAAGCATAAATATATTAAGAGGTTTACAAGAAACTCATTTTTTTTCACAAGATGAACAATGTTAACAAAAAAGCTTTGGCATTAATAAGAACAATTTCATTTTAAATAGATTTTATTTGAAGTTCAAATTTATGTTGCTTATTACTAAAATAAAAATAGTTTTAAAAGTTCAGATAGAAATGTTGAAAGGGCCTAACTACAAACTAACTGAAAACAGTCTTTCACAGGCTTTAAAGGAACTGTAAATTTCAAATATAAATGTGTTCTGTATTAACAGCAATGTTCTGTTCATTTTATCCCTCAATGCTATTTTCTACAGACTAAAATATAATACATTCTTTCAATAGAAGAATACACCAAAAAGATGGATTTTTCATCATGGTTTCTTAAATTCAAAGAATCAAAGACTCACAAATGAATGGATAAAGAGCCCACAAGACACAGCTTGTTTTGAAGGATTTAGGACTGTGATTAGAGGGAAATGGCCCCTTGTTTAGTCAACTACTCAGTCTGCCAACTTATATCAAGCGTGTTCACTAAAAGCAGGAAAGTTGGCTTTCTACAAGCCAACGCCACCACAAAAAATTACTTCCAACTTTTATTCCTATCTACAACATTTACTTCTTGAACATAAAAAGGATTAAGTGCATTGTATTGCTGTAAGAAATTTTAAACCTCCATCTTCGACAAACCTATCACTTTTAGTACTAAACTGAAGGGGAAGGGTAGCTTCTTTAACTGATTTTCTTCATTTTCCACTTAATTTGCTCTGATTATTTTTTTCCAAAACAAATCATGGAACTGGAAAGATGTAGCTAAAATTGGGTATAATTTTTTTAAAAAGGAAGGAAGGAGGACATTTCCTTCAGCCTTGACTCCACTCCACAGAAGAGTGAAGAAGGAACTAATGATGTTAGTTCAAAAGAACCTCTGCTGTAGAAATATAATCAGGAAAGGACTACTGACTTCAGTGCCCCACAGTAAAAGATGGAAAATGATAATTTCTCAGACTAGATTTGATTATTTTCATGAATCTTCTCCCTAAAATCTGTCTCCTCCTGACATTGATTTAATATAAGCATTAAGAAGATACCGACTAGGCGGCAGGTGTTGCTCAGCAGTAGAGCACACAAAAGGCCCTGGGGAAGAGGAAGACGAAGCAGAGGAAGCAGAAGCAGATGAGGAAGAGGAAGAACAACAACAACAATAGCAATAACAACCCCCACCACTAAGTTAAGTAAAAAAGAAATGAGTCTCTGAAAAAATCTAAAGACAATATTAAAACACTTCCACTAGCATCACAGTTCGTTACATGAAACACTGCCTGATCTGGCTGGGAAACGATACACTTGCCAGTAGGAAAGGAAAGAGACCAGATTCAGTTCTTCTGGCTCTGTTCATGATCTAACATGCAGGATAAAGAGGTGTCAGAGACACACAGCCAAGTCACTTTATTGACTTAGGTCAATTAAGTGACAACCTAAGAAACAGAATTCAGTTTTCCTAGAGGCACATGTTAAACTCCCAAGCAAGATCAAATTAAATACAAATTCTTGGCAAAGATTCCTGTTTTGTGTGATACTTCTCCACTGATAAAGGGAGAGAGAGAAAGAAAGCTCTTCAGTGATTTGCTATGGGTGAATGATGAACACCATGGTTCAGGGGCAGGGCAGTGTGCAGAAGCAGCTACGAAGGTAGGTTCATAGAGGTACTTCACTTAACCACAAACTAAGCAGCATCCATTTAACACATACAGTGATCCCAACTTTGTTCATATTCAGCCTACTTCAACTTTAAAAACACAGCTAACCCTGCCTTGGTCTTCAGGACACAGGGCTTGACTGACTAAGCAGACTACCCAGGTCACCATTATGTTTTACTGCTATGCACTGTACACTCTCAACCAGTGCTGTCCAACAGAGCTCTCTGCAGGGATGGAGAAGATCTTTCTCTGCGGTCCAGTGCAATGGCCACCAGCCACATGCAACTACTGAGCACTTGCAGTGTAGCTGGTGCAACTGAGGCATTCGCTTTTACTTCACTTAAAGTAATTCTTATTTAAACAGCCACATAGTACATCACTCTCCTAAGTCACTGCTGCCAGCAGGGTCAATGTTCACAAAAGGCAGTCTCTCTCTTCCCCTTCTCATCATGACAAGCCACTTATGAGCCGTTGTTTACTAGTGTTAACATACTGATCAATAGCTATTCCCTAGTTCAGGTCTTTGTCCATTCCATCTGACTTTCTTTGTGCTCCAAAACTTTTGGGTGATTTTGTTTTATTCACCCTCCTTCCTTCCTTCTATTCATTTCCGGCCCATCAGAAAATCAACATGCGCTAAACTTAGTTTACATAGAAACCCCTTATAGCACCAGGGCCAGCCACAGTTACACATTAACAGCCCAGGAGATGAACTATTCATAGCAAAAAGTTGTCACTAATTTATAAATCCAAAGATCTGTGTGGAACTGGATTCAATAGATAAGGTAATTAACATGTAGGTTACAATCAGAGTGTTGGAAAAAAGGGTTATGTGAAGACCACAGATACTTTAGTAACACTACTGAAACCCTCCCAGCCCAGAAGAGGCACCATGGTGTGCAACCCTTGAGGGACCCTCCTGTCCAAAGCAGCCCAGGCCCTCTGCTATACAGAGCAGGTTCAGAATGAGTCTGAGGTCAAAGCCTGGTCTGCAGAGGAAATTAGAAGGAAATTGTAGGAGATAAAACACAGCTTGAGGTTCTGGCACTTGTCCAGCTTTGTTCATTTTAGTCTAATATTTTAAGAGGTAGGGAAGAGAAATGAGCAAAGAGACTGCCCAGAGGCAGCTGCTGCGTTCCCGGCCCCACCCCCCACATATGCAGTGTGCCTCCCTGCACGCTTTCTCTTCGCCTCTCAGACTGTATATTTCAAAGTAATTTACTTGTCCTCAGAGTAGGCTGCAAAGTGAACGTGACAATTCCAATGCACAGAGCACCCTGCAGAAAAGACTGAAAAGCCATGTTCCCTGAAAGTTTAATGAAAATAAATGCAAACATGTTTGACTACCAAAAGAAAGAGTTTTAATAATAAACAGGATGGTTCATTAGCAGTGCAGAACACTTACACATGAGAACACAGCCACAGCTAAGGTGAGTGTTACTGTACAGATAGGGAAAACAGACACCACTGTTTCCTGGGAGGTCACAGAGGCAGTAGCGTGGAGCAGAGCCAGGATTCGAATGTAAAAATCCCGCCTCCCAGGCCAACACTCAGACCACTTGGCCATCGTGTCTCCCTTGTGGCAGCTCATTTATCAACCACAAATAATTTCCCCATTACTTTCCTAAACAAGAGCAGTGCATCTCGGCACACAAGACAAGGCTCTGTCCATTTTAAGAAGAAGAATACGCACAATGTGGCAAGTGTTATATAATGGACGGAATGCAGACCAGCAATGGCAAAATCATTGCAAGCCCGTCCTTTCCCACCATTCTCGGTGATGTAATTGTATACATCCCTGGCTCGAGTTCAGAGCATTACTAACCCAACTTGAATGCTGGCGAATGTGTCCAAATCCTGACAGTCCAACTGCATCCTTAACACAGCACCATGACGGGCAAACATGAGTCCCACTCATGCCAACTGATTTGTAAACAAAATGTCCTTACAGATGTTTTAGTCCACACCTGAAGGAACTACCCAGGCAGCTTCAGGTATAACTGAAGCACCAGGACCAGGCAGGATTTAACTCACTCTCTTACAGCAAAAGCCTAAGCATCTACAAAATATAATACAGTTCACATTTCCCCCCTCAGCTGCCATTTCTTATGTTATTTCAAGCACAAACAGCAGTTATGAATATCTGTGAAACTCAAAATTCTTTTCATAGTAACAAAGAACAGACACAAAAACTGGAACAGTTCTCATTTTAAGTTAGATGACACGACATTTGCATTCAGAACTGTTTCCATCCTTTCACTCTTATAAAAGAAAATAAAACTAATTATAGCCATTTTCTGTAAATGGCAAGTTTTGGGGGACGATTTCGGCCTCTGGAGGATCATACGGTCCTGCTACAATTACTCAGCTCTCACTGCAATACAAAAGCAGTCACCAACCACGTATCACTGAATGAGCACGGCTGTGTTGCAATAAAACTTTATTTATAAAAATAGACAATGGGCCAGACTTAACTCATAGGTCTTAGTTTGTCAGCCCTAATTAAGAAAGTGGCGTATTCTCTTCCCTTTCCTACATTTAACTTCAACACATGCTACCTTCACTTCAATGGGTCATTAAGAAAATGGTGACTCGCTAAATCCAATGCGGATTTAGGAGAATGTGGCTCTAAAGAATGTCATGGCAGTACAGATCACCTTTTCCTGAACTAACCAGTGCACACAGAAGGTCAACAGCCTCCAACACCAGCTCCTGGTGTCCAATTCGTGTGACTCCCAGCTCCTCCAGATCCTGGTGGGAAATCCGCAGCAGCTGCTCCCCATCTATCTTCTCCCGCTCAAACTTGTGGACATACGGCTGCAGGCAGTCATCTAAGCCTACCAAAAGCAAAAAAAGAGAAATCCATTATTGTCATCCTGTTCCTTTATGCCACTCCCCAAATTACCCACTTAAATCAATTTCAGCAATTATCAAATCTGCTACCGTTATTTGATTATTTCTATAATGTATATTTTATTTTGTGTGATATCTCATTGCAAACAGATTTGAAATGTTCAATGCAAAATACTCTACTCAAACAGGCCCAGAACTATTTGATGATGAGTACTTTCCCAATCCCTGTAAACTAAAGAAATAAACACTAATCTGCCAGGCACAGTGGCACATGCCTATAATCCCAGCACGCAGGAGGCTGAGGCAGGAGGATCATTGCAAGTTCAAGGCCAGCCTGAGCTACAAAGTGAGCTCAAGGCCAGCCTGAACTGCATATTGAGACCCTGCCTCAAAAAGACAAAAAGACCAAAACAGCAACAACAAAAAATCACTAATCCTCAGCTGATTTGAATTGCTAGTACCAGACACATGTTCTTTGTTTGCTAAGCAATCCTTCCTTTGGGATGCTGTCCCTCTCCCAGTGGCTTGCAAATCAAGATATTTTGGTATGGTGGCTGGCACCCATGTGGGTGGCCACAATGCTCCATACACCAGCCAGTCATGGCTTCAGGGATAGCCATGTGACTTAGACAGAACCAATAAAAATCTTCCTTGCTATTTGATATGTGGATACAAGCAGACAGAAGGTCTCTTTTTCTTTTCCAACTGAAAGTCACAGGAGACAACCTTAGTGATCCTGGCAATCATTTTCCTGATCAGTTTTCTGAGAATAAACCCATTTGAGAGAGAGATAATTCCTGACAGTATCCTATAACCGCCCTGGATCTACCCTTTTAGAGATATTACTACCCCTAGAATTTTCCTCTTAAGTCGGAGTAAATTCCCCTTCTAGCTTAACCTTTCTTTGAGTATCTGTCTGTCACCTGCAGCTGAAAAAAGTTCTGATGAATATAAACATAAAGAAGGTACCCACAGCAGTACATGGTGCGCTTATGAGAATTTTTCCAGGTCAAATATGATTGCCAATGGTGTTGTACTCCTATGACCTTACAGAATGACTAAAATGGGCAAACCAAGTAGAACTTTGAAGCTTTAGTCCTGTTCACAGACCTCTCCAGCCAACTTCTTATAAGGGTTTTAAAGAAATAAAAGCATTAAACCTAATAAACCTAACAATAATAAAATCACTTTAGGATTTTAAAACTAGATTTACTTACATTCAATGCCAACATGAAGGGCACAGACTCAGTATAACTTAAACAAATAATGTGAAAGCCATGCCGCCACCCCCAGTGCCCACACATTTATTTCATTTAACACTCAAACTTGCTGTCATCTGAGTGGGGAAAAGAAGACACAAGGCCCAGCACTTCCTTGTGTCAATATTAAAGTCGAAGGATCTTAAAAATCTGCTGTATAAGGCTAAACTACATCTCTGTCCCACAAACTTTCACCATTTGATAAGACACAGGAAAAGGAGGAGGTTCCTGATAACTACTTGGAGCTATCAAATATGAGAAAAAAATTAAGTCTATGGTAAATATTTGGAACCCACCCATCTTCCGAGCTGCCATTTGTCTAGCAGAGGAGCTCGGTCACATGGCAAGCAAGGCAGAAGACACTGATATAAGCCCAGTCCACTCCACCGCTCTCACGTGCCAAGTGGTCCCTGTGACATGTGACTCAGACAGGCAGTGAGGCCTGGGCAGTAGGCAGGTGGAGACTGAGGCTTTCACAGCACCAGCTACCCAGAGTCAGTCATCTACCGCGGGGCAGTGTTTATCAGCAGTGGGCAGCAGTGACAAAGGTCAAAACTGGAGGGAGCTACTATGCCCTGTTTTATAGATGAGGGAACTAAAGCTCCTAGAAAATGTACAACCTAGCCGCAGAGTGGCAAGATGCCAAGAGAAGGATGTTCTGCCACTTTCTTCAAGAGAAAAAAGAGAATTCTGTACTGGATAGAGAAGGAAAAGAGTTGAATTCAAATCAAGATCTATTACTCACAAGCCCTGCTCTTTTGAATTCTACCTGGTAAACACAGGATTCTAGCATGAGGTTATAAAAATTCCTCTCCACAAACAATCCTAAGGAAGCAGTAAAGTCTAGTTACAAAAGTTATTAAAACAAAATCAAGAATCTTACAGGTATTTAAAAGGTATTTCAAATGTCACTGAGTCCAAAAAATTAGAAAAGTGCTGACCAAAGATAAGTTATTTTGAAACTTACCCTAAATCAGTTAACGAGCTCTAAGCAAGATTGATATAACTTGTCATAAAAACTTAAGATCACTATGTCACATACTTAAACCCTGTTACAGATAAATTGTGTCCTCCTGAAATTCTTATGTTCTAGTACTAAGACTCAGTACCTCAGAATATATTTGAAGAGAGGGTCTTTAAAGAGGAAATTAAGTTAAAATATCATCATTAGAGTGATGTTAACCCATATGACTTGCGTCAAGACAATTAAGACAGTCGTAGGAACACTGGAAGACGATGGCCTTCTTAAGTGAAGGAGAAGCCAACACTCCTGACCCCTTGATCTCAGACTTCCAGCCTCCAGAATTGTAGTAAGATAAATTTTTGTTCTTTCAGCCACCAAGTCTATGGTAGTTTGTTACAGCCGGCCCTAGCAAATGAGTACAAACCAACTCACAGTTTAGCTCACACTTAAGCAACATGCTGAACTCTCTCTCAGATAAAAGAAGGTCCTGGCACTGGTAAAATTTAACTGAATGCTTCCCATGCTAAGCAAGCTCATTGCTCAAAATACAAGCACAAAAATGAGGTGGACATTAGTTTTCAGGTGCCAAAGTCAGTCCATTAAAATTTCAAGTGAGGAAACCATGCACCACAGCTGTTCAATAAACTTCAGCCCTGAATGATAAAGAGAAACGAGGATGAGGCCAGAATTCTCCTTTAATCAAAAAACACTAAAGATCCTGGATTTCAGAAAGACTCTGCACAAGTTAGGAAATATTTGGGGCACAGACAGGAAGGTGGAGGTTGGGGGTCTGGTGATGATTCCAGAGAATATTGACTACAAATGGTCACAGACTGGGAACTGAAGAAAAGAGAACAGATCAGAGTCTCCTTAAAGAGTAATGTAACATCAAATAATCATAAGTTCTCATGATGTAGGAGAATTGTCAAGTAGAAACATCATGTTGCTACCTACATGAAGGCAGAACTTACTGTGGTTTACACACTTTCTCCTTGAAGTACACAAATACTGACTATTCTAGGTTTTAACAGTACTGCCCCCAGAGTTGTATGATTCCAACACATTATAACCTACTGTTCAGTGATCCTATTGTTTAGAATACAGTTAGGCATTTATAAGAGACTAACTTAAACTATTACACAGTCCCAGAATGAGGGGGGAAAACCCCAGCTTTGTGTAAACTGAGCCAACACTTTTAGAATCTGCAGTAAACTATTCTTTTTCATTTATTTACAAAGTGTTCCTATTTGCCAACTTCTTGCTTCAAGATATTTATAGAAAGTCTAGCAGGACTAAGAAAATATATAATTAGGTGAAGCACATTCCATTTATGTAAATTAAGCACAGTAAAATGTGAAAGAATAGAGGAACGTCCACAGAATGGGAGCTGCAGGCCAAGATGGGCAGACTTCCTTCTGTCCCTAAATCTGTAAATAATCCTAAAATTTCAATATGTCTCAAATGCAAGAAGCAAAAAGTACATCTCTCCCCCTCTGATCTAGAAGGTGATGGGCAGGTAGTTAAAAACCTGAGTTCCAGTCCAAGTCTCCCTTCTTACTGACCTCGTAACAGGAGGGGTTATTCAATGCCTCACTTGTAAACCAGGGAAATTATCATTACCTACCATATAAAACTGTAATGAAAATTAACATCATAGAGAGCTTGCAGTACAATGGAGCACACTGTAAATATACATTTTGTTAAATCCAAAAAAGGTAAATTATGCAGGTAGGTCCAAGTGTTTAGAAGAAACATTGCTACAGATTGAGAAACTCCCAAATGCTGAGATGAACCCCAGCGATCAAACAAAATGTCAACAGCCTTGGTTATTACCTTCCCCAGAAAATGCCTCCAAATCTGAGAGCCTATAATAATCACTGCTTTCACCGAAGTATTTTATATCAGCATGAGTACCATGAAAGAAGAGATTTTATTTGCTCATGGCTTATTCTATGGGCTTGTAGAACATCCTGTATTGTGTCTAATAACAGTACTTCACCCTTTTTATGGCCAAATATTATTCCATTTTATGTGTATCACATTTTCTTTATCTACTAAAGATACTCAACAAGGATTTTTGTTTTATTTTGTTTTTACAGACATACTTTGATTTAGAAATCTGTTCAGCTAAATCTGGCAGACCCCACCTCATTTGGAACTTTCCTGGGTTCCAGGTGACATATGATGCAAAAGTTGTGCTCCAATAGCATCTGAAGAAACCCATGCACACCTTCACAAGGACAGATCTCCACGAGGAAGGGCACCAGGGCTTAGGACAGCAGCTGGTTTATCTGAACCAGAGGAAAGGGATCAAGGCTAAATGGATACATTCGTGCCTGATGACAACATTCTCAGAATTTGCACTGCTCCTGGAAACACCGAACAAGTACCCCACAGTCCTGCCTTCAAGGCTTTTCCGTCTTCCCAACTTGCAGGCTCCCCAGGTAGTGCACTATGACAGGACATTTGCTAAGAATAAAAAGCACCAGGGGCTGGGGATTTAGCTCAGCGGCAAAGCGCCTGACTGGCAAGTGCAAGGTCGTAAGTTCGGTTCCCGGTACCGGAGAAAAAAAAAAAAAAAAAAAAAAAAAAAAAAAGCACCAGCTTTGCAAACTGAAGCTCGGTATGTTTTGGCTCCTGTGTAAATATAAGATCATTAACTGAACACAGCAGATTTGAGAGCATGCATTTCAGAAGGGCAGGACTTCCCAGTAGCCTCTTGCTCCAATGTGTACCACTTTGGAATGACTTTCTTTTATCA